CCTAAAACTACGTTATCGTCCTTTCTCACTCGAGACCACACTGATCATTAGTCTATAGGTTTCTCCGACTACGCCGTAGACAGAGAAATAGACCAAGTACATTTATGCAAGTGTTCTGTGTATGGAGTGTAGCAGTAAGGAGTACTAACTCCCATAGTAGAATACATAGATTACTGAATATATACTAAATAGTAGAATAGTTAAAAAAGTGGTCATCTGTAAGCGATAAATAACAACTCGAAAACTCTCCACAACAGCGCTGGAGTAGCTACATAAACTTGCAGTTGTCGCCGGTTTAACTGTGCTGCTAAACTGATCAGTAGCTCTAAAATCTAAAATAATTTTATTTAGTAAATATAACTTCGAAAAAATCGTCTATTCCACTAATATTTTTCGGTGCGTTCTTTAAAATTTACCCCGTAGCTATAGTAGCGCCACTCTTATTTAAAAGTTTTTATGGACACTTTTTAATACACAGTCTGTACTCTTTACTTCTTCACTCCATAGTTCTGTGATTGATATTTAACATAATATGGAGTGTATATACTACTTAATATTTCTGAGTGAGAACAAATAGACAAATTATTGTAATTAATATAATTTTATTTATCAAATCCATTAAAATCTAAATATTTTATTTCAAATTAATCATTTGAAGTCTTCTGACCCATCCCATCTTTTTTCGCTTTCGAATCGAAGTTATTCTATTTCTCGTTTTAGGTTCTTCTTTCTAGGGGAATAATGAAATATCAAAAATCATTTAAATCGCTTTTGGTAGGCCCAGGTGATGATATTGAGGGCTCTGGTAATTTTCTTTTAAGCTGTAATATAAAGAGTAAAACAACAATATATGAAATTAACTCGTTCTACCAAAATAATTAAAACTAGTGAAATACAAACTGCATCCAAACGAACCGGTATATTCATATTTACAAGAATAAAATAATCTAGGTGAGCTTTTTAATTAACTGCCCTACAACTGTTATAATAGTTATTGTCTTGAGAAAGAAAAGTTTCAAAGAGACTTTGAATATTTTACATAGAATATTTAGTTTCAAGGAGACAAAATGAATATTTCTTAAAGGTTGACTTTTACGAAATGCTAAACATATTTGAATTGTGTTTAAGTGTTTATTTACATTTAGAATGTCACTTATATATGAGTAGTCCACTTGCAAACCACTCTAAGTTAAAAAATGGTATTTTTTTTTGCAATGGCGGCCATTGTATTTGAAATTTAAAAACTGTTACTCTACATTTATCATACTATTTCAAAACTCGCTCCATTACGAATAATTTGAGGCTAAATATGGTATACCCTTGCAAAAGTCGCTATGATATTTGACAGTTCACTTTCAAAACTGTCTAAGTTACTATTCACTTGCAAATGGCGCTAAGACGCCAACGTACTCGTACAGATGCCGCCATCTTGTCTACCAGTACCACAGAGTACTTTTTTATATAACCAGTACGCTTGATGCTGTTAAGGTGGCACAAGTCGCGGGCTCGAACTCATTGGTGGGCGCAGCCAAAAAGCATGTTGTCTCACCTGGCATCGTGCCCGACAGAGATAGTATCAGTGAAGAGCAGTTAGAACACACGTCTTGTTCGTACGGTGTTCCGAACCGTTAGAACAAAAACGAAGTTACACGAACACGATATACACATACATACCACCCTATTCTGTGCCGCTCGACGCTTGCTGAGAAATCAGCAGTACCTACCTACAAACTCGTACTAAATTATTAGACGCTGCGTTATCGCTTTATACTATACCTCTATGGCTCTATAGATACCTAATATAGATTGCTTATTTTATTATGTTTTGTTTTCCCCGGGTAGTCATGCAGCGATCACTCAAGAGTTCACGACGCCGAAGCATGAACTGGAACAGTCATCGCAATTTATATCCGTACTAGCTGTTGCCAGCGGCTTCAAACGCGTAAACTCGAAAATTATCCCACAGAAACGAAATACCTGAATAAACGGTATCAAATGTGTTATTCCAGACCAGGTATAACCTATCTCTGAGCTAAATATCATCCAGATCCCTTCAGCTGTTCTGGCGTGATTGAGTAACATACATCTATCCATCCAAACTTTCGCATTTATAATATTTAGATAATAATTGTAATTAGTTCTGCCTACCTATAAATTGTTTTACCAAAAATACTTACCTGTCTTCTTACTTTTTTTATATACACACAATATCACTAGATGTAAACACATGTTTTTATCAAGACAAGTGGCCCGTCAAGACTGTTTCCTTAGTACCGACGTACTTAGGCAGGTAGGTAGGCAGTTTAGATTTTAGTGTCCACGACGAAGCGACAGTTTGTCAAATTTTGTTGTATAGTAGGTTGTGGGTATCTAGGTAATAACAGTAGGTTAATACCTATCGACCGTCCACGCCGCGCAAGTGATTCTCGTCCCACCTGTCCGCGCAGTAACTTTTTTTTACGACCGCGCGAGACTGTCGCAACAAAAACGATTACTACTGAAAAACTAAATAGGTACCTACCTAACATTCAAATAAAAATATTCGCAAAAAGCTCAACGAATTCGGAATTTAATTTTGTTAAAAGAAAATTGGTCAAATAAAAAATAAAGGATGAAAATAAAGCATATGGGAATATAAAAATAAATCGTATTTATTTGTTATTTCGAGTTTTACAAGAAAAGTATAATATTTACTGGAGACAATTATTTTATTATTATAATAGTACATGATATTCCCTTTAAAATGACACCAATATGAATAATATCTTATATCTATCTCTACAAATAAACAAAATTTAAGTGTCTGGTTGTAATGTTAAAATAACAGATTTTTATTAAATGCATATGAAAGTACTAGTAACAAAAACACAATTTTTAAAATTTTTGTCTGTCTGTCGGTCTGACTGTCTGTCTGTTTGTTCCAGCTAATCTCCGAAAAAGCTGGATCTATTTTGACGGGACTTTCACTGGCAGATAGCTGATGATATAGGGAATAACTTGAACTACTTTTGTTTTAGAAAAAGAATTTGGGTTCCGCGCAAAAAAATTAAAACCCATGAAATCCATATTCCACGTGGGCGAGATCGCGGATAACAACTAGTACTCAATATAGATAAATGTATACTTATTTTTATTTATTTATTATTTTAATAAATAAATAAAAATAAGTATTAATAATTTCTAGACACATCTCAACAGATATTTCGTTTATAAATTGCTATCAATACTGAAGCATTCTTTTATATTTAGCATCCATTTAATACAAAGCTGATAGGAATACTTTTTAAACAACATAATATAATCAATAAACGATAATCGCGTATAGTGAATTTCGAGGTAAATTATTATATGTAAACGTTTTTGAATCGTCGTAATGGAACATATTTCCTAAAAAAAATATCTTTACAATTAATTTGATGTAAAATAACATTAGAAATAACGTATAAAAACAGAAAAATCATCAAATTTTTGATCGAGTTCCTAACCAGTACACAAACAAAAATGGCGAAATGTCATTTTCACATTTTTTTCTATATAGTTATTTGTTGCAGAGTACACAGATAAAATTCACTCTCACAGATGACAAATTTCAAACACCACAATCTCTAATTTTTTACTCTGCTATCTTCAGCGCTGTACACGAACGGAACGATGTCGTTGAGAGCCGTGGTAGCTCACATGGTTAGCGCTGGTTATAGGTATCACAGTACAGGAGCAACCCGGGTTCGATCCCCACTGGCACCAATGAAATTGTTGCGTGCTGATTTAGCTATCAGTTGGAAAGTCTGTTTTTCTGGGCCGTTTTGTTTTGTTACACTGACATCTCGCAAGTCACCTAGGGACCTAGGAGGTTGTCGGTTGCTTATTTTTTTTTCTTTAAAATTTTCGTCGGTAAAATAACATATTTATAAAAGTAAAAAAAAGTAAAGTTACAGCCTATATACGTCCCACTGCTGGGCACAGGCCTCCTCTAATTTCTGAGAGGGTTTTAAGGCAAGGAAATGTCCGCCACGCTGCCTCAATGCGTGTTGACGAACTTCACATTTCTTCGAAATATATATTTTTTAATTTCTCAGACATGCAGACCCGAGTGCGGTCCCCGCCGGCACCAATGAAATTGTTAATTGCAATTGTGCTGATTTACCACGTGCTCGGCGGTGAAGGAAAACATATTGAGGAAACCTGCACGTCTGAGAATATAATTATAATCGAATGTAAATCAAATTGACATAGGTAAGTACAGATAAAATTAGCGGAACATTAATAAAATTTTGAGATCGTTTTTTTTTTCAAAATTGTATTTATATATTCCTCTATTTTTGTCTGTGCTTATATCAATTTGATTTAATCCAAAGTTCAAGCAGGGGTCAATGTAGCGTAGTAATTTAGAGCGCAGGTATAGCTATAGTCATACGAACGTCACAGGCCGCAGCTGACTGAGTCGAATAAAACTAGAATAAGCGCGCGTCACCGCGCATGCATGTGTGTGTAAGTGTCGTCCTCCCGCACCGCACCGAGGGAAATATTATTCAGTGAGATGCACGATAATTCATATAAACACGCGCGCGTAAAAAAAATACGAAAAGGCCTTTGGAAGGAGGGGGTTTTATGAAAAAACCACTGCATGAATCAATTACCAATAAAATTTATTGAATTCTTCGATAATTGAGCTGTGTCGGTACCGACTTTGTTTTGGAAATTTTACACTGCTTTTATTACTAATTTACGCCCAAAGTTGTGTTAAAATTGGCAATAAAAACGAATCTTTGGTAGCTCGTAACTTTTTAATGACCTTTTATTTTACTATTCCGTTTCGGTACAGACAAAATTAATAATGAGACAAAACGATATCATGTTTAACTTTGGATGTACACTGTCAAACAGCGGAGTAAAACCCCTCCGAAATTTCTATGGAAATAATGTCGACTAGTCACCTTAACGTGCACGCTCGTATCTACTATCTACGAAATAAAAGTTCTTTATCAATTTTGTGTTCTAAAATGGAATTTCAAGAAAAAGAAGTTATTCAGCACCTAATAGAAAAGGACGTAAGAAAATATCCGATGAATCTACTTGGAAGAGAGAAGTTGAAAAATCAAAACGGTAAGTTAGTCTATAGCTTATATATTAACTTTTAATAAATAAATAATTTATCTTAGAAAATTTATTTATTTATTTAAAGTAAATTAAATTAAATTACTTATATTTAAATTTCTGTAAATAATTAACACTAGGGTAAGTCTCTATGTATTACTAATACGCTATGGATGTATAGTCCTAAATAAATGTATTTGAATTTGAATAGTTTGAAAACCATTATTGGCGAACTCTTAAATTTGTCTGATTTTATTGAACAAGTAGTTTATTTTTTACTGTTTTGTTGCAGATATGTGGCTAAAGGATTTCCAAAAATACCACAATGCGTACATAGAAATTTAAAACAGGGTTATAAATGTAACAAGTTGACGACTCAAGACTATAGTAAGTTTTACAGACATTTTTATGCATCTTCAAACAAAATTACTCAAGATACATTTTTATTAAAGTATTGCTCAGCTCAAACTCCAAAAAAATAAGGCAAGAAAAAAACTCAAACAATATGTTATTTTATTCCAAAGTACGAATCAACTGTTGGCGGTAAACGCTCCATCAAATTAAAAAAAGTATGCCAAAAAGCAATGACCACACTTTTAGGAATATCTAAAGACAGAATACAAAGAATTTTCAAAAGACATTTAACTACTATGGAACTGCCGAAAGAAAGAAGAGGTGGCGATAGAAGATCTTCACAGTATTTAGGTCGTACAGAATCTGTTAAGTCATTTATAAAGGGTCTTAAATCCATAGAATCACACTATACGAGAGGAAGGTCTACTGTACAATACCTGAGCAGTGACCTTAATATAAAAAATTACACAAACTTTATAACAATGAAGCACAAAATGTGCCGGTGAGATACGAATTTTTTCGGAGAATATTTACAGGCTACTGACGCTTGCTCTAAGTGCATTCAATTAAAAGAGAATATCAAAAGTGAAAATGGTCTTGCTAAAAAACAGATGTTGATAGCGCAGCTTAGGATTCACAGGTAAAAGCCAAAACTTTTTATACTAGCCTCAAGACGCAAAATGACAATGAAATGATGTTATCCTTTGATTGTCAAAAGAATCGGGTTCTACCAAAAGTGCCGGATCAAAGTGCCTACTTTAGCCGACAACTGTATGTATACAATCTAACAATCTGCCAAGGGCCATCTTGTAGCCCTCAAAATGATTTAAATACATTTATATACACGTGGCTCGAAATCGAGGCTTTAAAAGGATCCAATCAGATTGCATCAGCATTATTTCACAGGCTGTTAAATACCACTTTTGATAGCAGTATTGAACATATAAAATTATTTTGTGATGGTTGTGGGGGCCAAAATAAAAATTCCATAGTTTTGGGAATGTTGGCATATTGGTTTAAAACAAAAGCTCCAAATCAAATTAAAAAAATAACTATTATATTTCCGGTAGTTGGGCATTCCTTTTTGCCACCCGACCGTATATTTGGAAATATTGAAAGAGAGATACGCCCTTTAGAGGTGATTGCGGAACCCGAGGTTTATTTTGATATTTTCAAAAGATATGGTAAAGTTATTAGACTTGGAAGTGACTTCCAGTTTTATGACTGGAAAACAAGCGTTACAAATGTGCTGAAATTACCAGGATCTTGGAATTTCAAATTTAATGCTTCTAAAAGATTTTTCCTGAGAAAGGATAAGAATAATAAAATTGGAATCAAAGGGGAACCTAATTATGTATCTGAAGTGGTCAACTATGGGAATGTTTGTAAAAGAGGAAAGTCTTACGAAAATATTAAACCTACGTTGATGAAATTGGAGTTCCTGTAAATACAGAAAAATCAAATGACGTGAGAAAACTATTGATTAAACATTTCGGTGAAGACTGGATTACTATTGAAAATCTTCAATATTATAAGTTTTTACAAGAAGAAGAAATTTAATAGAAACTGACTCTGAAGAAAAAAATGGAAGATGAAATAGATATAAGAGTGTAAAAAACTAAGTTATTAAAATTATTAATAATTTAGTTTTAAGACATAAGTGAAAAACTGATTCAAAACTGTCTATGTTAATTCCATACAACTGCAAAAATGTTTATGTTACGAATACTTTTGCAGAACTTGCTATGTTCAATTTTAATATTCAAATTAAAAGATTAATGGTATACCGAGATTTCATTTTTTATAATAAAATAATTCTAAATAATACCACATAAGCGTATACTAAAGTAACAATATTTTATTAACTTACTTTGACAGATATAATGTTTTAATTAATTTTCTTAATTAATTAGTCAGTTAATATAACGCATTTTGCAAGTTGACTACTCATATATGTATAACTTAAACATATCGTAAAAATCAGCCTAAGTACAATTTCCTTCTTTTTGATATTTAAAATACTTTCAAGATAGTAGTACTTAGTAACCCACGGCAATTGCACATATATAGTATGTACTACTTGGTAAAATAATTGAATTCTAATTACGGCCCTGTCTTTTTGTTATTTTTCATTGTTCTTTTACTTGACGGTAGATGGCCGCCTGTTCTCAAAATGATTATAAAAACTACAATAATAATATTTTGGCGATTGAAATTTCTTTAGCACTGAATGTAAAAAAAATTTCAGCACCTTCGTATGAATATATTATCAATACTGAGTCCTAGGTACCTTTATATTTTTAGTTCCCATGACACAAAGTGTCGCCATCTAGTGTCGAATATATTTAATTATTTTTTGGTGGTGAATACTGATTGTCGTGCGTCACTCAATAGTTAAATGATGAATGTGTGGACGAAAGTCAGTGGCGTGATTTTTACTCGATGTGTTTGCTCGATCGCGTAATAAATATAGTACCGTATTTAAGTACGGATACGGCGTTATAAATCCTTTTAAAAATTCCAGGATTCGTCTTACAATTGTTTTAGGCCTACTACTAAATCTTTAGCAATTCATTTTGCGAATACCAAGCGTGGTTCCTCAGTACACACATCGGCTCACATACACATTATTTCAACATTACAAACAAATGCTTCAATTTTATTTATTTGTATAGATTTCGCCGCATTTTGTTTTTCATGTGTGAACACTGAGGGACCAAGCTGGGAATTCATGAAATGCATTGCTAAGGAAATGGTAGTCCTAAAAAATTGTAGAACTAATCCTGAAATTTGTAAAAGAATGTATGGTTGCGCCAAAAACACACATTTTGATTTGTGTTAATTAGTTAGTTAAAATTAGCCGGTACAGTCTTTCTCCTCACTTCCAATCCCTTCCTGCACAGGCATGTCCAATAGGGGGCTAGATATGATGGCGTCATTTTGTTCGTCCAATGGAACACGCGCTGACCATAAGTGAAAGGCCGGAACCTCGCAGCCGGCGGTCCGGCACGTCATCGACGTGTGTGTAAAAATGTTGTTAGGTTAGCTAATTACGTAATAACTTAAAACAGAAGGATCCTTAATTAGGGACTGAATAAATTAACCGACTTGGTATTACATAGATCTCACAACTTTTTACGGTAGACGAACTGAGTTGCGAGACTTGGTTTTTTTTACTAGTTATGTTTTTGATAGCATCTTATTTCTTTTTGTAGATAAGATGGTCCTACCTTTTTACCTTTCCGGTACCATATACTTCTTGAATACCAATAACGTACCAATCTACACCTGTTATACATATACGAGTACAATGATTCATTCACTGCAAATGTAACTTTGTAATTCTATATATTTATATGGGATTACAAAGTTATTTATGCAGTTGGTGTACCTAGGAAGCTGGACCGAAATTAACAAATATTTTACTTTTTCCTTGATTTATACTCTAAACACTAATTGTATTCTAAATTTGAAGCTTCTATGTCTGCTCGAAGTGCTTTAGAGTTATGATGATCGGTCAGTCAGTGAGTGACAAAATTAAGAAACTTTGACTAGTTATAATTCTTTAAACTACTGGTCCAAATTGAATGAAATTTGAAATATATGTACCATATTTATATAACGCCTACTTGGTTACTGAAAATTCAGGCCTCTAGTTTTGTTGACTACGAAAGTATAGGAGGTCAAAATGGCCTGAATTGCTTCGAGAAAAGTATGGTACGGCTGTACCGCTTTTTTGCCCGACTTGGCGGGGGCACTACCGTGCCCCTAGGTTATCGCAAGTATATTGTCCAAAACCCGCCACGTGCCATGTCCGCCATTTAATTTTGGTTGTAACGAACCACGCTAAATACAGTCCACTTTCGTTACTCTCCCACCCAAAATTTCGAGGTCATTATTCCCGGAATTGAAACCCCAGGTCCTTCGAGCCGGATTCCTAAATAGATTTAGTTTCGCTTAGTACTACTGTGGTACTGTACGCCATATTGTTGAATTTAGAATTGCAAATAGTTTAATTTTCCATTTGTAGCTACACTCGGATATACTATAAGTAATTGGACGCTTGTTTTATTTAGTTTGACACCGCAGTAGTTTTCTGTTTACTTAATTCCGCATTCTTCACAGGCGTTTCTATTTGAAATAGTTACACCTCGTTGGGTAATTACCCACTTAGGAATTTTACTCGTGACAAATAGTTTTGATTTAATATTACTTTGTGGAATAGAAACGTATCACTAGCTGTACTTTGCTTTGTTGTCGTTTAGAATAGATGTGACGCTGGGTAATAATTAACCACTTATTGCGTTAAATGTGCTGATTTCTGTCCTCCACCGATACGCGATTCGTTTTGTTTTTTGGTTTGATATTAATTTTTGAACTGCAAGATGGCAGTAAGTGCAAATGAAATGCGACTTAAAGCCCTTTACGCTAAAAGAGACATGTTGTTTTCTCTTGGTTAGATTATGAAAATTTGTTAGACAAATTTAATAGTCTTGAACTGCAAATTAATCCCGATTATGTAGCGAATTATTACCTAATCACTTACGGCTTTCGAAGATTTATTGTGTCGCGTGAAGCAAGCAGCCAGGCAGCTTCAACCTGTAGCTGAGGGTGACGTAAAGTGAGCAGTTCAAGTACACTCACGATATCCTAATATATAATGGTGATATTAAAACTCGGCCGTTATTTATTACTAGCTTTCAAAACACTATACATAATAATCCCCCTTTATCGGATGCTAAAAACTTAAATTATTTCATTGGCAAAGTAATAGGTAAAGCGCAGTCTGTGTGTGCCGGAATCACACCGATCGCAGACAATTATTTATTAATTTTTGACTCGCTAAGAAATAAATACGAGGAGAAACGAACGTTAAGCCTTTTCATATTTAGACCAAATATTCGATCTTAAAGTTATGTCGTCCGGGAATATTAATAGCCTCGAACAATTTTTGTATAGATTCGTAACGTCGGTAGCCGCTCTCAAAAATCTTAAATTTAATGACCTTGTGCATTTTATATTTTTAGATTTTGCGTTAAAAGAGCTAGACTCGGACACCGTACGTTCGTTCGAAATGGAAAATCGTTACTCAGACCTATCATCGCTCGAAGCCTTGTCATCTTTCGTTTTAAACCAAATTAAGGTAAAAATATTAGGGTATTTCAGCTAGATTTCCCCCGTTGCACTTCAATTGGGTAAACTATTATCAACGTAATTAAATTCTGCATTTTATTAGCTTTCTGTGTGTGACTTTTATTCTAACATAGGTAAAGAACTTTCTCCGTGGTAGCCGTTTTAGCCGAACTGGTCGCAATCGGAGCATAAAAAAATTCGCAATGAGTGGCGCGGGCATTAGAGGCTATTGTCGCCGCGTCGCTCGGACGTTCATGTGGTTATATGTAGTTTATAATTGTGTACCTTAATTTATGTTTGATATTTGTAAAGTTTTGCAGCTACGGCCATATAATGTCAATAATTTCGGCGATACGATACGATAGCGCCTGTACGATACGATAGTACAGGCGCTCGTCCATATGAGTCAAAATATTGACCGACTTCATACGATAGTACAGGCGCTCGTCCATATGAGTCAAAATACTGACCGACGTCATTCGTATCGATGTATAAAGCTACCCAATGTGACCCTGGTTTATCATCTGTATCCAAATTGCATATTATATACGTTGATACGTGGGTGTACATGGGTAGTCTATTGGCAGCATAAACATTATTTTCTAGACTGGGGTGAATCTTTTTCAGATGTTGTTGTACATCTAGTGTATCCACGATATTACTGCTATTAGTAGATTATTATAGTACAATCTACTCAATTACTAACATAGGAATGATCAATTATAGTGATTCTAAATATTAAATTGCATTATTTTGTGTTATACAAAACGTATTTGAGTTATCAATACACTGAACAAGACGCAAAACGAAGTAATGCTGACATAAGCAACAAAATGTGAAATAAGCTCGTTGACGCATAAAGTTACTATCAATTCCACTGCAGAAATTCTTTAGATTAGGTACTATATAAGACCAAGCAACTGCAGTCATGGAGTTAGTGTATGGTCGTTTGACCGCAGTGGATCTATCAATACTACATTTGTGTTACTTCAACGAATCAAAGGCCATGGATGTAAGTGTTTATTCTATTGACAAACTTACTTTTCTTTCTGTTATTTTCTTACGTGTGTATGATTTAGTGTTAACAAATTATATTTAAATATTGTGTGTGTACCGCATCTACGAATACTAGAGTATTTAAAAATACTTTTTTAACAATGACAGTCATTAGTTGATCATTAGTGAATGTGATTCTGTTTACTTAAATTACAGGAAGACAAGAGCAGAAGGAAGAAATGGGTTGATGGGAAGTAATGAAGCATTGTTATGTGAAGTTTGTTGGAACAAACATATTTTTAGTCACGTGTAAATATT